AAAAAGGAAGAATATGAAAATAAGAGTATCAGAGACACAGTTTGAATAGAAGTATATTAAACAATGCAAAACATACAGTCCAAATAGAGATTGGAGTGGGCTACCTTGAAGGGGACAGGGAGCAGCATGTTGATTTCTGCATTGTGGAGTTTAGAATAGTTTTTGTGTTTATAAGGTAGATAACCTTTTCGTGGGGTAAAGTAACCCCTTTTCCCTTCAAAGTCATGGTGGACCAGCTTTCCCTTGTTGGGTATTTCTTCATGAAGTCCACAGGAGGGGAGTCAATATCAGAATGTAAATGATACTATAATGAAGATGGAGTTTGGAGAATGCAGACCTTCATTAGTGTAACATGTGTAGGAAATTGCCCTGGTGTGTTGTTTCTTAGATTTGTTTTTATGTGTGCCTGCATGTATGGATTTGTACCATGTGCTTGCCTCCACAGGTATTGCACACGCATGCATACGTGCACAGGTAAACACACACACACATAAAGTAAAAAGAGAAATGAGGAGAAAATCAATTCTGACATCTCAAAACCCAGAACAAGTTTTAATGCTGTTTCCTTCTATGAATTCTGTGTATAGTGATAGAAATGGTCTTTGATCCATTTTAAGAGTTTGTGCTTGGAATAAAAGGGTCCAAAGTCATTCATTTACATTTGGCTATTTAGCAACGTGGGGCTTATTTTTAAAATAGTATTTATGGGACTAGAGAGATGGCTCAGTGGTTAAGAGCACTAGCCTTCATGCAAAAGACCTGGGTTTGAATCCCAGCACCCACATGGTGGCTAACAACTGTCTGGAACTCCAGTTCTAGGGGATCTGATGCCCTCCTCTATCCTGTGTGGGCATTGCGTGACATGGGTGCACTTGTATACATGCACACAATAAACAACATACACATAAAAAAAGCAAAAAATTTTTAAAAATTTACGTTTTTGTTTGTGGTGCTAAGAGTGGGAGAAGGGGTTGAACCTAGGACCTCTTGCGCTAGGCAAGTGCTCTACCACTGAGGCACATCTCCAAATCCTGTTTTTTTTTTCTTTTGAAGGACCTTGCTAGATTGGCCTTAAACTTGGGATCGTCTTGTTTCATCTTCTTTATAGTAGCTAGATTCCAAGGCTGTAACACCATGTCTAGCTATTTTGTTTCTGTTTCTATTTCTGTTTTTGTTTTTGAGACAGAGTCTTAGATACCCCAGGCTGGCCTTGAGCTCTTGATAATCCTTCTGACTCCTGAGTTGATAGGATTATAGATGTGGGCCACTGCCCAGCCTAGCACTGTTTTTTGTTTGTCTTGGTTTGCTTTTGTTTTTGTTTTTTTGTCTTTTTGAGACAGGGCCTCCCTGTAGCCTCAGTTATCCTGGAACTCACTATGTAGACAAGAGTGGCCTTGAACTCACAGAGCTCCGCCTGTCTGCCTCCCGAGTGCTGGGATTAAAGGCGTACTTTTCCATTGATTTTCTTTATACAAAATCTACATTGAAACAGTGAATAAATCTGGACATATTTTGGCCTTTGTTTAATGAAAATGTACCATTTTACTCCTTAAATGACTTTCTGTGTTTCTGTTCATTAGTTGATGACATTCAGAGCAGTTCATGATAGCACCAGCACCTTCATAAAAAGCCTGAGCTCTGAAATTGCATGGCAGTGCTTAAGGAAACGTCATTTGTAGTTTTTTGTGTGTGTGCGTATGTTAAGAACGTTATTGAAATTATTACCTAGAAGAACAGATAATACTGAGTTTCACCTGAGGAATTCCATTTATAATGATCAAGCAAGATTATAACCCTATTTTAGGGCAAAAGCCTTGGCTCTAAGAGTCCCAACAGGCTAGGCTCAGCCATCTGTCTCAATACACCAGTTAGAAGAGTAATTAGTAGAAGCAGAGGAACGAAATTTAATCAGTGCACTGGGAAGAAAAGTAGATAAAAAGGTCCAATGCCCCCAGATTCTTTGTTGTGGTACTGGTAAGAGCTTTAGGTCTAAATAGAGGAAGAAGTAGGGCAAGGGGCAAGAAGTATGGACAATTAAGCAATGCTGCCAGTGCAGTGGCTCATTCCCAGTACCTTTGTGTGCACATGCTCGCATACCATAGTACTCCTGTGGAGAGCAGAGGGAGGTCAGAGGTTATATGGGAGTCCTCTCTTTCCACCATATGGGTTCTGAATCAAACTGAGGTCATCAGTCTTGGCAGCAAGCGTTCTTACCTCATTGACCCTATTTGTTTTAATTGTTTAATAGAACTCGTTCAAGGAACTCATAGATTAACATGCAAAGTTATGTTTTAGATTTTTGTGCTCTTTATTGAATTTGGTGTCCCTATTAATATATTGTAA